GGGGGGGGGGGGGGGGGGGGGTGGGAGGGGAGGGGGAGGCGGTCCTAGTCAGGCTGATGGAGGAAATGTGCATGATCTTTTATGATGTTACCATTTACCCTGACAATCAACTAAGAACAAAGGCCCAGAGGCCTCATCCAATGAGCAAATTCAGCTCACTCCCACCTTATACTCCTTAAGCATAGGAACCATGTTCATTTACCTTTGCACGTCAATGTCAAGCATAATTTCAGACTCACAGTGAAGGTCTAAGAAGTGCTCGATTGTCTGAAGGAGCTCAGGCTGCCCAGGACCCAGATGGGAGAGGCAGAACTAGAGAAACAGGATCATTAGGCACTGGGTCCAGGGTCATGCCTGTCTTTAGACATGGGGTCAAGAGGGTCCCTAGGAAAATGAGGATCATTAGAATGCCATTAATATATTTTTCTTTGTCAATTTTGAAAGAGGGAGTACTCATATTTACTAGTGAAACACCGCAAAGATGTAGAAAGAAAAAGCTGTACCTCCCTTCGTACCTCTTCATCCTCTTTCATCTTGGTAAGCAGTTTTCCGTGTCCTTGGAATTCTAAGACACCAAGTTATATCTAGGTGTGTGTCTTGAAAAAAAAATAACCCCATGGGGCGCCTGGGTAGCTCAGTCGGTTAAGCGTCCGACTTCGGCTCAGGTCATGATCTCACAGTTCGTAGGTTTGAGCCCCGCATCAGGCTCTGTGCTGACAGCTCAGAGCCTGAAGACTGTTTCAGATTCTGTGTCTCCCTCTCTCTCTGACCCTTCGCTGTTCATGCTGTCTCTCTCTCTTAGAAATAAATTTAAAAAAAACCATAAAACAAATTAAAAAAAAAAATAACCCCATCTGGGACTTGGCCCTTTCCATCTACAGCCTTAAATCTCGTATCAGACCATGAAAATTTTCTTCTGTTATTTGCTTAAATATTACTTCTCCATCTGTTCTTCTCTTTCCCTCCCTCTGTCTCCTTCTGACACTCCTTTTATTTGAATGTCCTATCTCCTGTTTTGTCCCTCTAAATCCCTTACTGTTTCCTCCTGTTTTCTAAATCTTTGTGTTTTCATAGTATGAGCTCATTCTTCTACTCAATCCCCTGGACCTTGAATTCGCTGATAGGCAGTGATTGTCCTCCTTTCATTTATCTCCCAAGTTCTTTAAAAAAATTTTTTTAATGTTTTATTTATTTCTGAGAGACAGAGAGAGAGAGAGAGCAGGGGAGGGTCAGAGAGAGAGGAAGACACAGAATCTGAAACAGCCTCCATGCTCTGAGCTAGCTGTCAGCACAGAGCCCAACGTGGGGCTCGAACCCACGAACTGTGAGATCATGACCTGAGCCAAAGTTGGTCATTTAACCAACTGAGCCACCCAGGCGCCCCCCAAGTTTTTAAAATAAAACCTAGGGGTACCTGGATGGCTCAATCGGTTGCGTGTCTGACTTCGGCTCAGGTCATGATTTCGCAGTTTGTGAGTTTGAGCCCCACGTTGGGCTCTGTGCTGACAGCTCAGAGCCTGGAGCCTCCTTTAGATTCTGTGTCTCCCTTTCTCTCTGCCCCTCCCTTGCCTATTCTTTCTCTGTCTCTCTCTCTCTCTCTCTGTCTCTCAAAAACATATAGACATTAACATTTTTTAAATAACAAATAATTTTCTTTTAGTTCCAGGAAGTCATTTTCTTAGATTCTGTGTCCTCTTGAGCATTCTCACTATGTTTGTTCAAACCCCTTTGGTCAATCCTGCTCCAACAGGGACCTCTTGGGGGCTGGCGCCTCCATCTTTCTCCCCCTTATCACAGACCGTTACGTGTTCCTGATTTTATAGTTTACCAGTAAGCAGATCAGGGTGAGCACATTTGTCAAGCAGTGGCAAAACCAGCAGACAATGGAAGGCTCAGTGGTTTCTGTTTTCAGGAGTCATCAGCAAAGTAACTGGTCAACCACTCCTCTGTAGATCTGAGCAGGGCATCCTCTCTTTGAGCTCCTGGGATCAAGATCCAGATCTTAAAGAAGATGGAGGGTTGGGAATTATGAACACAGGTGGTAGAATTAGCTTCAAAGAAGAGGGAAATATTCCTTCT